AAAAAAAAAAAAAAAAATTTCAGGAGTGGAAGAGGTCACTTCCTGATTGCACATGACTTCCTGGAGGAGATGAGGAAGGTGTAGAACTCTAAAGGACAGGTGGGATTTTCACAGGTGAGAGAAAGAGGAAGAGCAGGAGGGCACTGCAGGTGTAGGAATGGCTCAGGCAAGGGCCTGGAGTGGGGCAGAGGCTGAGATCAGGAGTCTGGTGACTGGAGCAGAAGGGGGTGTGAGTAGTAGAGAGGTGATGGACAGAAGGGGTGGTGGACAGAAGCGGGTAGATCTGGGATCCATCTCCCCAGGAGCCTGGTAATCTTTACTTACAACAGGGATCCATTCTCCATTTATGTCTGTGTCTCCAGAACAGCGATGGAATTTTATGGTGCTTGATCCTTAGAAAAAATAAAAAAATAAAAAAGGACTGGAAACCCCCGAAACCTCCAGCTTGGTTTGCAGCGTCTTGGCTGGCTATGGTGCTTGACCACGTGGCTTCAGCCTTTCCACAGAGACTGCTCTGAAAAACAACAACAAAACTTTTTGCAAACAAGTATCTTCATGCTGGGCAAATTGATCAAACGTATTAAGAAATTGAAGTGGAAGACCCCAAGAGTAGCCCTGCTCCCTGTTGGCCCCTCCCCTGAGTTACCACCAATAGTGTTATTGTTGGGCTCTGAGCTCCACCTCATTTGGACTCTTTAGCTTTTCATTTCTTTCTTTCTTTTTTTGCCCAGCTGGCACATTTATTGGCATTAAGCACAAGACTCTTCCCAGCACTAGGAAGCCATGCCCACAGGGTGTCCCTCTGCCCCATTTCTGCAAAAACTCTCAGGCCTTAGCAGTAGCCTGAGCTGCCCCCAGGGCTGTGAGCTGCTGAATCTTCTGACTCATCATTTCCATGACAGCCTGTTTCATGGCGTGCTTCTTCTGAAGAGCTGGTTGGATTTTCTCCATCTGCTTGGTTAGAAAAATCTATCTTCCTCTTGAAGAAGTCCTTGGCATCCTGAGCTGTCTTTTCTACATAGTACCCAGTTCCCACATGGATGAGCACATGTTCCACATCATGCAGCTTCCCAGGGACATACATAGAACTCGTCAGTGGGACATGTAATTGTTTCCCCTCATTGCTCTTGTTCAGCGTGTTCAGACAGTCCTTGGCTTCCACATACTTGGTCTGTACCACTTTGAGCTGGGCAATGGACGTGGAGAAGAGCTCCACTTCCTGGTCCAACTGGTTCTTGAGCATTTCTAGTTGCGGCAGATGCAGCTCCGTGATGTTAATAGACTGTGCCATGTTGGGAAGGAGGACTAACGAAGAGATGCTTTTCATTTCTTTGCTCACTTCCTCAACTTGACCACACACCCTGAGGCCAGGGCTATATAATGTGTCCCCTGGATTTTTGGTGCAGCCAGCTGCACAACCGATGCTCAGGCTGTGTCCCTTGGTGGGTGTCCACAGTGCCTCCTATTTAGGGTCCCTTCAGTGACTCTCAATAAGGATGAGGTCCCCCAGGAGACATGAGAGGCACAGCCCCTCACAAAGCTCTCCCAGCAGGCCTGGCCTCGGTGAGTTCACTGGCTGCCTTTGCAATCCTGTCCCTTGAGCCTGCTGGGAAGAGGAAGAGCTGCAGTTTCTCTCTGCAAAGCATCTTCCCTTAGGGATGGGCAGACCTATTTAGATCTATTTTTCTTTTTATCTTTTTTTTTTTTTTTGTAGAGATGGGTCTCGCTATATTGTCCAGGGTCGTCTTGAACTCCTAGCCTCAAGTGATCCTCCTGCCTTGACCTCCCAAAGTGTTGGGATTACAGGTGTGAGCTACTGTGCCTGGTCTGAACTAATTTTGTTTTATTTTATAATTTTTTTGAGACGGAGTCTCACTCTGTCACCCAGGCCAGAGTGCAGTGGCTTGATCTTGGCTTACTACAACCCTCACTCCCTGGGTTCAAGCAATTCTCCTGCCTCAGCCTCCTGAGTAGCTGGGATTACAGGC